CTCTTCCATTTTGCATAAGTACACAGCCAAGCCCTTTAGGCAAAGCATCATTGTAGATTACAAACCCTTCAGTACCGGATGGTAAGGCCAGTACTGGTACTGTATTTAACTTTGTTTTCAACTCCTGGAAAGTAGATTCCCGCTCTTCTGACCATTCCAATGCAACTCCCTTTCGAGTCAGTTGTGTAAGCGGCACAACAATTTTGGAAAAATCTTGAACAAACCTTCTGTAATATTGAGCTAATCCCATAAAGCTTCACACCTCAGTCACATTAGTGGGAGTTGGCCAGTTCACGATCACCTCAATTTTGTGTGGATCAACAAAAACTCCTTCCTTTGTTATAATATGCCCCAGAAATGCCACCTCCTGTAGCCAAAATTCACATTTCTTCAAATTTGCATACAGTTTCTTTTCCCTGAGGGTCTGAAGGATCAAGCGAAGATGGTTCTCATGAGCTTCCACATTCTTCGAGTAAATGAGGATATCATCAATAAAGACTACCACAAACTCGTCCAAATAGGGCTTGAAAACACGGTTTATTAAATCCATAAATGTTTTTTTGGGTGAATAAATCCATAAATGTTGCTGGTGCGTTAGTTACTCCAAAGGGCATAACCAGAAATTCATAATGACCGTACTGGGTTCGAAAAGTCGTCTTCTCAACATCATCAGTTTTGACCTTCAATTGATGATACCCAGACCGTAGATCGATTTTGGAAAAAATTTGTGCCCCTTGAAGCTGGTCAAATAAATCGTCAATCCGTGGCAAAGGGTACTTATTCTTAATTGTCACTTTATTGAGTTCCCGGTAATCAATACACAAACGAAGTGTTCCATCATTCTTTTTCACAAATAGAACTGGTGCACCCCAAGGAGACACACTCGGGTGGATGAACCCTTTATCAAGTAAATCCTGCAACTGAACCTTCAATTCCTTTATCTCAACTGGCGACATTCTATACGGAGTCTTAGAAATGGGTTGAGTTCTTGGTGCCACTTCAATTGTAAACTCAATTTCACGGTCTATTAATTGCCCTGGTAATTCATCCGGAAAGACATCTGAAAATTCACGAACAACTGGAATTATATCGGTACTCCCATTCATCACTTGCCCTTCCAAAACACTACACAAATACCCCTGACACCTTTCATCCGGAAAGACATCCGGAAATTCACGAACAACTGGAATTATATCAGTACTCCCATTCATCACTTGCCTTTCCAAAACACTACACAAATACCCTTGACACCCTTTCTGAATTAATTTACAAGTCATTACTGCAGAAATCAAATAAGGTGGAGAAGTCACTTCTTGTCCCTGAAACACAGACTCTGATTGTCCCGGAGGGTGGAAACTGATTTTCTTGGTCAAACAGTCTATAGTCGCACCATATTCACTTAGCCAGTCCATTCCCAGAATAACATCAAAATAGGTCATGGCGAGAGGTAACACATTAGCATACACCCGACTATCCCCAAGTTGGAGTTCACAAGCTAAATATACAAAAGCACAGATCATAGAGTCTCCCAAAGGTGAAGACACACACAACAGATAAGACAATTTTTCTTCAGTTTTATCTAAATTAGGAGCAAATAATTTCGACACAAAAGAGTGGGTGGAGCCAAAATCAAACAATACATAAGCAGAATGACCGTGAACAATAAATGTACCTGACACCACTGTTGCCGCATTTTGCACATCTCCTGGAACCAATGTGAACACCCTGCCTTGCCTCGCAGTGTCTTTATTGTTAGTAGGTTTAGCAGTTGTCTTAGTGTTGGGAGTTGGGGTAGACCCCGCTGAACTGGTAGCAGCCCTATTGATGTTTTGTTGATTCCTTTGAGGGCAATCCCTTATCAAATGACCTGGTTTGCCACAATGAAAACAGGCTCCAGACTTCCGATAACACGTCCCATGATGCTTCTTTCCACATTCCGGACAAACAGGAATTGAATCCTGACTAGGCGTAGAAGTATTTGAAGTCCCTAAATTTTGTTTCTTGTTTGGTGGAGTAGTTGTCCCCTTTGACCATTTAGTATTCTGCCCCTTCCCTTTCCATTTAGAAATTCGGTTCTGAGTAGTGAGGTTTCCTTCTGCTATAACAGCCCTCTCCAACACATCGACATAAGTAGGTAACTTCAACATGTTGACCTTGTCCAGGATAGCACTCCGTAATCCCCCTTCAAATTTACGCGCCTTCTTGTAATCTGTGTCCACCATATGAGGTGCAAATCGGGCTAGTTCTGCAAATTGGGCTTCATATTCGGCAACGGTTTTGTTCCCTTGTCTGAGAGTTTCGAATTCTGTCACCTTCTTATCTCACATACTTTGAGGGAAATACTTATCATAAAACAATTTTAGGAATCTATCCCATGTTAATCCTGGGTGTATGGTCCTTGTAAGCATCCACCATCTCCACGCCTCATCCTCGAGAGTGAAGGCAGCCAGTTGCATTTTTTGGGCTTCAGCGCAAGGAAAACTTCAAATAACTTTTCTATTCCCAACAACCATGCCTCAGCTTTCATTGGTTCTATCCCTTCTTTGAATGACGGCAGTTTCATCTTGTTAAGCTCCTTGGTAAGGGTAATGGTCCGGTCTTCAACATGAAAATTTTGTACTACAGGTGGAGGTATCGGTGGTGGTGGCGGTTGTTGTTGTTGCTGCTGTTGTTGCCGTAAGGTTTCCACCATCTCCATAATCATTCTTTCCATCATGTCCAACCGTGCAGAGGTAGCATCTTCTGGGTCTTCTGTCCTTGTTCTCACCATAGTCTACACAATAATCAATTATATAACATAGACATAGTTCAAAATTGTTAGCATTAGCAGAGTACATGTAATGTTGTTATCGATCTTTTCTTCCACTTCCAGGATGTCATGCACAATGCCTAAATCTTTTCTAGACACCCTAAAGCTCAATGGATTCGTGTGTGAGATAGCAACTCGTGCTCTGATACCACTTATCGCCCCCCAAACTCACCCCTAAAAGTTTGGGCATGATCTATTCAGAAACGGACATTTAACCTGATATACATAACGTACGGGGCCTTAACGGAAGCATTAGATAACATAGAATAATAGAAACAAACTCCATTGAGCTACTACTACTACTATGCCAAGATCACAAACATCAAAACAAGCAAATAAAATCCAAAACATACACCTGGGCATCGGTTATATACACGTACATATACAGGCCCAGCCCTATGATTGGGCGTATAACAAAAAACATTGTGGAAGAAAGTATTATACACATTTCAACCTTAGGCCAATAACTAAAGTGCAATGCCAAAAGTTTGTCAAACTTCACAAAAATATGAGTGGCTTCATCTAGGGCCTGGACACATGAAGGTTGACAAAAGAGGACGAGCATCATTGCTTAGGACTGACCACTTGGTTAGTTACCTACAGAAACAGACATAACACGGGGTGAGCCAGGCTCAGTGAATAGTAATACTTTTATAATTTGATGCTCAACTTAAATCATAATACAAATCAATGCATACGTAAATGAAAAGATTACATGTTTAATATGATTCTGTATTTATTGCTGAATGGCCTTGGCCCAATCTTGAAACATGATGGCTTTAAGCCCTTGAACTGAGTGGCAATAAGCCCTTGAACATATTGGCATTAAGCCCTTGAGCATGTCGACATTCAGCCCTTAAACATGTTGGCATTAAGCCCTTGAAAATACATGTACGAACCCAAGAGGTGTCTCACACGGATTCTAGAGGTGACTCACATCGTAGCACTTAGTTCTGTGTAGCACTTTGTTTCATACCATAACAACTTAAATGGAATGGCCATAGGCCCAGATATCTTCAAAGCAAACGGATTTCAGCGTCTTACAACATTCCATAGTCATGTGAAAGTCGTTTCATCCTTTCCATTAGTCATTCTCATTTTTAAAATCATTCACATGGTTACATAATTAACAAAGTTAACAGAATGCTAATGACAGACTTTAGCTAGAGTAAAGCGTACTACTACTCACAGTGTTGTGCCGACGTACTAGTTCCTCCCGGAGTGTGTCCTGCACACATTCATAACTTGCAAATTAGTTCATTCTCTTTATTGAATCATTTCCGGATTCATTTCACTTCAAATGACTTTTACACACATTAATAGGTATAAAATACAAATTCTAAAATATTCGAGGGTCCAGCACGCAAAACGAAGCAAACAGTTTTTCTCAGCATGGGCCACACATGCGGCTATGAGCCCCACACGTGCGGCAAAGACTCCCGCACGTGAGGCAATGATGCCCCGCACGTGCTTTTTAGACAGTACCCAAAGTGCCAAAATCCTTCATTTCCCGCACGTGCGGCCATGACTCCCGCACGTGCAGCTGGGGTTCCCGCACGTGTGGCCATGACCCCCGCACGTGCGGCGATTTCGTATATTTTCTGTCCAAAAATTCAAGCAAAACCTCAACTTTTGGTGAACATTAACAAGGCTCAAATTAGCTTCCTTAATTGATAGAACATGGTCTAAAATTCATGCTAATAGGATCTTCAAACACACACATCAATCTAGATATAAATTAACTCTTTCATTCCTCAATATAACATAATTTTCTTTCGCATTCAACATCACATATATATATATATACTAAGTAAGTTCTTCATGATCCTCATGAGAAAATAAGGAACAAAAGATAGTTTCTCCACATATGTGCATAATCAACTTAGTTCACAATCATCCAATTGATAAAACATGATCCAAGTCTAGCAATAATTATACCCTAGGTTCAATTCCAAGTCCTAGGTTACACAATTATGATGGAATCACACTCAAATTCAAGAGAGGAGTTAGAGGAGATAAATAAACTTACTTATGAGCTTAGATCTTTCAAATTCTCTCTAGGCTATTCAATCTTTAATCTTCGTTCAAGTTCCCTTCTAGCTTTCTCTCTACTCCCTCTATCCTCTCCTAGGAAATATGTGAACTAGGTTTTACTTAAGTCAAATGGTTAAGAGCACATATAATATATATATATATAAATTAAATAGGAGAAAATCAATCGTTTAACCATCCTAAATTTAAATTTCACAGAAATGCTTATTATTACTAAAAAATTACGTTGATTCGAAATATAAACTCAATTTTGGATTATCAAGTCTCTAAGGTCCTCAATTTCGGATTCAACACTCTAAACATGGCAGATACTTTTCTTATTAAACAGATACGATTTCAAATCATAAGATCCATGGGTTTAAACTTAGTTTCTCATGAGGTTTCACATTAAGCATTTGAAAGCACAAAATAGGGACTGGAAATATATCAGAATCGTATCAGAGGGTTGGGTTATTACAGGTAATGTGCTTGACGATGTGTTGATAAATTAGGTAGTCAGTGTTCAATAATGCAATTGGGACAAGCATGGCCATTGTTGATTTCTATCTAGTTCTAAGAGTAAGCTTACTGCTGACTTATCTTATTTATCTTGTTTACCTTTTGAATTTGAAAGGTAATGGTCATGACTTTTTTTTTTCTTTGATGGAGTAGTGGCCGCCTTCCACCATCTCCTCAGGAGTATCCTATCTTAGGTCTCAACCTTTCGAGACTCCTTGTGTAGAATAGAATTGCTGAATTCCACATTGAATTGGAATTGCTTTCCGCCAGTGCTATGGAGAATAATTGTATCAAGCATGCTGTAGAACTGGAGCAATCGTTCATGGAGGGGGCTTACAACCGTGTCTTGAGTGCGAGACAAACTTTACCCCATGAAACTTAAATTTATTTCATGGCTCTGTTGGCAAAGACAGTCAGGTAAACCGTGTGACTTTACTTATGGCAAAGATTAAAATGAGAGGCAAGAGTTGAAATAATATCTGATTTTTTAGGTGTTTTATTTGATAATAGTTGTTCATTCTGTTCATATAATATCAAGTATTCTTTTAACTAGAGGAAAATTGGGGCATTTATGAGAGTTTGCTAGTGGACAGTCGCAGACAATAGTTAAATTTCATTTGGGCAAAAATAATGATGCAAATTAAATGCACGTTGGTTGATATTACTACTTTTACATATGCACATGGTAGCAACAAAGACTATCCCACTACATTTGAATTATGGTGAGGTCTATGTTGATTTGTTTTGGTTAGCCTGTTTTTTTATCCCTTTTGCTATGTTTGTTCATAATATCAAGTTAGTACCTGAGAGCAGGGATTTACACGTAAATTCTCTTTATACATATGCACTGCGGACTGATCAATCACTCGTCTTTTCTTATTTTTTTCATTCCAACTAGGGTAGCATGTGCACTTTGGAAAGTGTTGGTTGGTATTACTGCTTTTACATATGCACATTATCTGCGTGGTAGCAACATTGACTTTCCTACTAAATTTGAATTGTATTAAGTGAGACCTATGTTAGTTTGTTTTGGTTATCACGTTTTTATATCTCTTTTGCTACATTTGTTCATAATATCAAGTTAGCGACCTGAGAAGTGGGATTTATGCATACATTCTCTATGTATACATATGCACTGCGGAGAGATCGCTCACTCTTCTTGTTTCTTATTTTGTTCATTCCAACTCTAGTAGCATGAGCACTTTCGAAAGTGTGGGTTGGTATGTTACTACTTTAGATACACACATTGTCTACTTGGTAGAAATTGTGATTAGTTGTAGCACTTGTGTCCTTTAAACTATTGGAGAGCGTATTTAATTCCTTTAACTTCATTTTGGGAGTCTTTGGAGTTGTTGTATATTGGCTCGAAGGAGTACAATTCAATTTAGACTTGTTGGGACTATTCGTTCGCACTTGTTTTCGTTGAAAAGTTCTTTGGGAACTTGAAAATTTTGTTTTGGTGTCGACCCTAGTCTTCCTGGGGGTCGACACCACCTTGTTGCCTTGCTCTTAGTGTCTCTGCTGGTTTATAGGGTCAACACCACGGGTCCCAGGTTGACCCTTGTCTACTCTGTGTTCTGGGTGTCACTATTGAAATATAGGGTTGACACCATTAGTTCCTAGGGTCGACCCTTGCCTGCTGCACACATTAGTGCCTCAACACTTTTTTCTTGAGGGTTGACACCACTGTCTTGAGGGTCGACCCTTGTGAGTTATTTTTAGAAATTTTGGTTCGGTTTTGGGCCCAACTTTTTAGGGGATTGACTTATTTTTTTCTTTGACTTTAGGGCTATTATTCTACTACTATAAATAGACCCCAAACACACTTTTCTCATTCACTTTTTCTTTTCTTTGTCTCTCTTC